CTCGCTGTCAGTACCGGAATGTAAGGCATTGAGGAGTAAACCTAATGATTACTTGACAATTATGTAGTCGTATATATAAAGGCTCAGCTCTCACACAATCTCTCTATTATTGTGCAAACTATTTATACCCCGATATTAGGGAATCCGAGCATAATTGCCGACATTTGCACGCTATATATGCCAATAGCACCGGCATATCATCTCATATCGTATCGGACTCTCGCAAAGTCCCGCTTATTTCTCAATGTCTTTTCGTGAGTTCACTTCATGTGAACGGAAGCGCATAAAGAGAGAGAGAGAGAGAGAATAAGAAAGAGGACTATAAGAGAGAGCGCGTGCCGTCAGATATACAGTCCCAGAGAGTGAATGATAGGGAGAAAGAGAGACCGAGTGCTGAGCCCTTATAACAGGAATTCCTTATCGCCAGAGGAGAGACACTTTCTGTGAGACCAAAATCTTAGATAAGGTTTTTTCTTCTCTTTACCATAACTTGTAATTTATTTAAAAAAGCATAACAGAGAGAGAGAGAGAGAGAGAGAGAGAGAGAGAGAGAGAGAATTTATATTACATTTCGTTTGCATTTTATTCATTTAATGCCTGAATAGCGCCTGAAGTGAGAAAAGGTTTTTCACTTTTATTTACAATAAAGTCTTCATATAATATAAATCAAAATCATGTATGAAAACGAGAATAACTTTATTTTAATATAATTCCTAAAATATTATTTTGTATTTTTACTAAAAAATTACTTTCTTTTTTTGCTTATATTTAAAAACGTAAAATACTTTAAATATTTCTCTGGTTTGAAATGACATTATATAACATTATACTCTATAAGCATTATATGATAGCGAGTGCTGTACACACCATAAGTTACACACAATTTTATAACATTTTATGTTCATTTGGTGTTTCATATCATTTACTTCTCGCTGACACACATCTAAGGGTTTATTTCGTTATTTTAAATACGATTTACAACTCATGAAAATAGCTGTTAGTTTAACCATAATATTGTTATGATATCATATCTGCAACTAATGCTTGAATCTGTATATCAATGCACTTTCCGTCAGCTTTTTTTTGGTTATAAAAAAGTTTATTATATTTTTTTGCTGCTATTTATCGATCCATTAGTTTTAGCATAAGAAGTGAAAGGCAATGGAAAGGAGCGATACGTTTGAGATTTAGTAAAACTCTCGGCACACATAAGGGCACAGGTTTTTGCCAATCAATTGTTTCCACTGTAATAATGTTTAAGTAATAAAAATATCTTAACATTTATAGCAATTTCGAGATTTCGCTTTTTCTTAGGCGTCAAATGTACGATAAATGTAAGACTTTTATTAATATAAGTTTCTCTTTAGGGCTTCAATAAAGAGCCTAATTTGCAAATCTCGTTGAATTCTTTACATATCATTGAGAATTGGTTTCACCGATTCTTTTATTGCTCTCTCTCTCTCTCTCTCTCTCTGCAGTGTTTGCGCTTAAAATACTTGATATAATGTTATTCTCGCTTTAATAATATAATATATATTTTCACTCTATTATATCGATTTTAATCTAAAGAAAGTTTTATTTTCCATTGACTTAAGAAAACAGTGGAAATATTTGCCACAATTTCTTCATCTTTGGCATAAAAAATTGGTTTTATATATGAAAGCATTTTCTCGGTTGAGAATAAAAGTTATTAAAAATTGATTTTTATCGTTATTATACACGGAATGCAAAATAGTGTATGAAATCAAATATTATTTTTATATTTCATAAATAAATTAAGTATAATTAAAGTAAATACTGAGCAGCTAAATCTCTCTCTCTCTCTCTCTCTCTCTCTCTCTCTCTCCTCTAATTTCAAATAAAATAGTGATTGAAAAGTGGATAACATTTTTTCCACACTATATTTAAACAGTATATTTCATTTGCGGCAAAAAGTCTTTTATTTTGTCAATTATTTGCCATTTATTGCATCAAAAAACATAATTAAAGAGAAAAGTCTCTCATTTAACAGTTAAAGTCGTTGTGAGAAATCTCTTTAAAATTTTCGCAAAAATAAAAATATTTCGATTAGAGATTGAAAAGCAAAAACTTTTTATGATTTTATGAAATGTATTAAAAAACTTCTCTCCGATTGACAGATAAGATGAACACATTTTCATGAAAAATATTAAATAAAATAAAATAAAGAGTTAATTAATATTTGTATTTTTATTTATCGCTAATATATAGAAAAGTTATTTAAGATTTATATAAAAGTTTGTTTCAGAGGTTATGAAGAGTTTGAAAAATTTAAAATACATTTTATTATTATTTTTCTTTCGTCTATAAGTGAAACAAATTATTTTTCAAATACTTGTCGTCTTTATTATCGGTTTGAAAATCAGACAATTTGTTTGAAATCATGGTTTGAATACTAAATATCATTTGATATGTATTTCACAGGTATTGGTATTCACTTAACACATGGTATCACTTGAGCTACTATTACCGGCGCTGACCAACACATCCAACACTTTGCACACATAACACAAACAATACATACAGCAAACTTCATTGAAAAATTGCATGATGCTTGAACAAGATTGCCCAGGTCAGTTAACCCAATACACAACATAGTTTATCATTTTGAAAATTAAACCCAAAAATGCATTGAAATGTTAATGAATGCAAACAGTGCTGACCTCTCGTGTATCCAATCATTACGATATACTATATGTTTTATAAACATTAAAAACCATTCATACTATTCATATAATTAGTGACATTTATTTCGCAACCCTTTGCCCCCTATTTTCAAAACTCGTACTTTTATACAGAAAACAATATAAACAGACTATAAGCACAACCACATAATCCCTTCATAATTATGTCACACTATTTATGAATGGTTAACATAAAGTGATTGCACTTTAATTTCAAATCCATTTGTTTTGCTTTTGTTTTGAGTAAAAAAAATTAATTAAATCTAAATTTAATAAACAATTAATGAATTGAAAACTAAATGTGTTTTTGAAGTGAAATCCCAATCAATATATTTGTGCGAAACTGTGAGCCGAAGACACCATCGAAATGGAGAGTCAGTCCGTGTTTGACAATCACCTGCTGTTGGAGCAGATCTTCCGTCACATCGGATCCATACGACACCTGAAGAGCACATCCCGTGTCTGCAAACTGTGGCACAACTGTTGCGACCGCGAAGTCCGCCACCGATGCCATCGACGGCTCACTCATCACCTCTTCTACTGCTTTCCCGTCGAGTCGTCCGTCTCTTCCGACCTCAAGAGCGACGACAACCCCAACGACGACAAGCCGTTTGTGTTGACCGACGGCCAGGCGGTGGTCGACCGCATCGGCCATTACTACAAGAATGGTCTGCAACTGATCCCACAATTGGTGGTCATGTTTAACGCCAAACTGAGTCGCGACGACGGCTCCTATTCGGCCCTCAATCTCGACACTTACCGCCGATTTCTGCCCAAAGAGTGTCTGTTTATACGTCTGGAGAATCAGACAATAATCGGCACTTCAGACCACAACCGCTCTCCATATCCGGCGGCCAACGGTTTGGCCGGCATTTCGCACCTATTGATGGCCAAAACCAGCGGCCTATCGATCGACGTGTATTACGATCAAGAGATTTGCCAATCACTGAGAGCTGATCCGGACATCAAATGCATTTTGTATTACGAGTCGTGTAAAGACTTTGACCGAAAGGACAGCGCCGGTCACTACATGTGGAGTAACTGTAATCATCACATGTGGGATGTGATGAAAGAGCTGAAGTACAAGTTGGCGTTCGGCGGCACTCGTGTGGCCGCCATTGACGTGAGTCGCGGTCACGAGCCGTCGTCTGAGGCCACGAAGCCGTTCGCGTGTGTTGTGATCCGCGGGCCGACTGTCAGCGCCTGTAGTATTGAGATGAAGACGGGAAGCGCTGAGTCGACGAAACGCCTGTTGACTGAATTCAAGTCGCGGCTCGGCTTCGACGCCGACGACCACCGACTGTCCACAACCGTGGCGTTTGTCTTCTGCCGCATCATTCCCTACCGTTTCAACCGTTACTGTCATTTCAAAGAGGGTGAGTCGTCGCAACTGATCCACGAAGTGTTCCCTAACGTTGTGTTCGCTGGTGTCATAAGTGTCATCAACTTTGGCCACGACTTCTGGCCCGCACTACCATTCAAGTCCGATGAGGACAGCAATTATAGGACAACACTATTTGACAGCACTATTATTGTATTGATTAATATCGCAAAAAAGGCATCAATTGATTGATTATTAATGAATTTGTGTTTAAATTACTATTGCTTTTATAAACTGTTGATTTAATTGTATTTATAATGATATTAACCTTAATTATATTGATTGCATTGATATGAATGAACCGATAATACAATTGATTGTTATATACTGTATATCTTATGTTAATATTTTGATATGAATAGTGTTGGAACATTAGGTTTAAATTACATTTCATTAATACATGTATTTTAGTAATGATTTTTATAAAATTGCGCTAAAATTAGGGATTGGATTCTGTGTAGTATTGAAGGACATGACTTGTTAGACAACATTTGTTATGTTATCCTTATATGTATTACTTATATATTATTATTAATTATACAATTCATATTGAATTGAATTTCACATGAATTTTGGTTTTTATCCAAAACTTGTATTCATTTTGATTTTCATATGAAAGACTGCTTTTAAAAAATACTTTATTATTTCTTATCGATTGAATTATACACTAATTCTCTGTCCTCTCACTCAATGGTTTTAATGAATTTTGAACACAAATATTGTGTGAAATTTAAATTAGAAAACAATTTTCGTTATAATATATGAAATAAAAAAGTGATTTGAATATAATGATCGGCAATCAATTTATTTTATTAAAATATATATATAATTAGCGCATAAATAATGATTTTTTAGCAAATATTTGTCTGATATGATAGATAAGAGTCGCTCTGGAAGTGTTTGAGTGATGTTTTTTGTTTTTTATTTGTTTTAATGTCTCAAACGATGGCTAATAACGAGTGGATATCTGGAGGCGGTTGCCAGGAATGCCTTCACAACGAACTCAATCACAGGTAAGCGAACCATCAATTTATGGACAAATACTATACTTTATAACTATTGAATAAATTTTGTGATCATTTTTATGGCTTTTATAACAGGATTGCCGACAATTACGGGTTGTGTTCAACGCATTCATTAGTGAATAATGGCTTAATAATGGAGAATATCTTCAAGTGGTTAGAAATCTCTGAACTGATTAAATGCTCCGATGTTTGCCTTAAATGGAGAAGTATTTCGCAACTAATTGGTTATAAACGGCGATATTTTTCGCATAAATTACTTTATTTTACTTTATTATCCACACAATCGTTGCTCGCATTTAGAGATAAGTATCGGAATGTATGCAAAGAATCTATGGATGAAGTCATCGATTCCTACAATCATTATCTGTCGAGCAATCGATTAAATGAATTCAAATTTATTATTGTTTTCTCGAAACTGGATTTCAATCAAATGCAAGAATTTCTCGCTAATCAACGCATACCTAATGATTGTACTGTTGTTCACATTAATTGCCGAAACGAAGTGATTGGCACTCAAGAGGTGGTGCCGAGGAGTGGACGGTCTGTGGCCGCCAATCATCATATTGAATACGAGTCCGATTTTGATCTACTATCGGGAATATCAACCCTTTTTATGTCGAGAGCGATGCCTGGGATTGAAGTGCTTTTGTACAGAGACTCGACAATACTTGATCTGAAATTTGATGCTCAACTCAAATGTATTGTTGTGTTTCACATTCAACGATCATTTTATGGACACTTCAGTCGATTAAAAACCGACAGTCAGTACTTGGAATATTTGGAGCAATTAATCCATGATTGTAACAATAATAATACCGTAGCGTTTGGTGGGGTCACTGTTGACCGACTGGCCTCCGCCCAGACCACACATTCCGACCGCGATGTTAACCAACCCATTGACTATATCTGTTGTCTTGCCTTTTCGGGCCATAATATACGAGCGTTTAGTTTTGTTATGGATTTTAATGACACTAATATCGAGTCTCGTTTGAAATTAATTTGTGATGAATTGAAACTAACGATAACTTACAGAACAGAATGTATTGGTTTTGTTTTCGGCGAGAATACAAAGCAAGCAATTGTTATAATGAGAAATACATTCAAAAATATGATCAAAATCATTGGCTGTTCCGGTATTAGCCATGGATTGAATTCAATGAATGCCAATCAAAGGGAGAATTTATTTTTTAAAAGAGGAAAATGTGTTTTACTTGTTATACAACTCAATAAAGCTTTTGAATAAATGATTTTTATTAACAGATAATCTAATATTTAATTTATTTTGAATATTTGCTTAAAATTGCCATTTAATTCAATAATACATAAGGATATGAAAGCAATGTATTCACTGGTAGTGGAGATCCTAAACAACAAACAAAACAGCGATTTTAGGCAAAGATAAACTGACAACAGATACTGGCGATGACCCGACACCTGAGTGACCCATAACAACAAACAACATGATGTTTTTCAGGGCCAGTAATACAGGTGTATAACAGTATATGATATAACTTATTGCTCCACAGAATTCGTATAGAGATGTGTCACTACATGTGTGTTACAGTCCATGGATTACACAATTGTCTTAAGAATTTTGTTTACAACCAATTCTCACACATTTCTTATTGAAATAAGAAAATTTTTTTTATTCAATTAATTTATTTTTTTTAGTATTTTCAGTACTTTTTATTCACCAATTCTTCGTGTCATTCAATTGAATGCAATTTGAATACAAATAAACTTTGAATACATTAAAAATCCATTATCTTTTGTTGTCATTAATCTAAATGTTTATATAATTCAATAGAAAAACAATTTAATAGCTAGTGTTGCCAACTCGCCACTATTTAAGTGGCAATGCCACTATTTTGGGTATGTGCCACTATAATTTGAAGGGCAAATAGTGGCACAGAAATGTCCATTATTTAATTATAAGAAAAATTAAAAAAATCTTGATAAAAATACTGCAAATACCTAATAAATAGTTAGCAAAAATTAAATGTTATTGTAAAATTTAGTAATATGATATATAAATTTATGTAATATTTAACAGCGCGTCATTAAACAATGCTTATATTATGGATTACAAAATAATTTACTAGTAATTTGAAATTAATAGACAAAATATTATGTTTATAATAATAAATATATTAATAATATTTAGGCACATTGAAATAGTGTCCACTATTTTTGCTTTGATTATATTAAATCAATTACATGGAAATATTTAGCGATTTTAAAATATTAATCACTTTTATTTTTAGTAATTAAGAAACTTGCTATTATATGGAATTATAATTCAATACTGATAGCGTAACACATTTTTTAATATAAAATAATGTTAATAATAATGTAAAGTTATAAACGTAAACAATTGTAAAGAACAATTTGTCCTGCTCATAATGAGACATGATTTTTGTCCCTTGATCACGAATTTTTACCACTTATTAAAGTTTAAATCCATTATTTGTCTTAGATTTGACCTAGCCGGACAAATAAGATATTAATATTATGCAAAAAAAACTATTGCCACTATTTGTCCACTATTTTTAGGGGCTTTTGAAATAAATTGCTACTATTACACATTGACGAGTTGGCAACACTATTAATAGCTCTCTCTTTGCTAAATAATTCAATATATGTAATGTTTAGTCAAAATAATAGTTGTTTATCATTGGAATAAAAAATAACATAAATTATATGTTTATAATACAAATAATATTAGATATACAGATAATGATTTTTTTTTCATTGACTCTAATAAAACTAATCATTATATATGGTTATTATGCTCTGTAATCTTGGTGTTTAGCATAATTATGCTGATGTGCCTGAAATGAGCAAGGGTATCGTCGGGCACACGACTCCCCTTTCAACGCATCCTTCGCCACATTGTAATACATTTTGACAGTCGGTATGAATTGGATTCTGTAATCGTTTCTCTCGACAGCAATTCTGCGCTCAATCAGAGAAAAATGCATTGAATTTAACTTATATTGAATTGAAATGAAATGCATGTTTCACTTCATAGACTTCATACCCAAACACATTAATGATTGCGTTCTCAAAGACGGGTAACTTTGGTTTTTCGCCACTTTTCAACACCGCGTAAAACACTTTACACGTGTAGTACTTCTTACAACCGGCACTCTCTATCTTTCGGGCCTTAATATTATATTAATATTTAATAAATTGAAAGCCATTACATGTTTTATAAAGTAATAATAAAAGTATATAATAAAAAGAGTGTTTTTCACTTACAGCTAATGTACTTTCAAAGAGTTTCAAAAATTTCAGTGTTTCCTCATTAGTAAGGAGTGGTAACTGTCGGTAAATATGGGATTCATTGACAAGCGATCGCTTACGTCGACCTAAGCTACTGAACAAACCTAACAAATAAACAGAGATTTTTAAGTGGTCAGTACATTGACATCAGATCTAATGGTGATTTAAACAGTGTATATACCGGCTATAGGGGAGGCACCAGAGGTGAGTGCGATGATAGCGGGCAACACAGTTAGTCCGTAGAGCACACCACTCACCATAAGAGTACTTAAGCCTATCTTTCTGGCCATCGCTGGACTGTAATTAACTGGTCGTCCAAAACGATTGTATAGAGTCTGAGCCGTCGGGACACTCATTGGCGATACAGTTGTCGGCGTTGTGTCGATCACCGGAGGAATCATTACTTGTTTAGACTCTTCTTCAAAGTCTTTCTTCGCTGTTTTATTGGTTGTCTGAGTGGTTGTCGTCTCACTTAACAGTGGCTGAGGTGTCGGCGTTGGCGGTGATGTCGGCAACGGATTGTCGTTGTAATTGAAGCCATCGATGAGCTGATAAGTGCCATAAACTTCGTGATCGGTTTGACACAAGTTTGCCGAAAGTAACAGACATAACACACAACAGGCAAACAGATGATAGAAATAGTGAATATATTTCATAGTTTTTTAGGAAATAAATTCAATTCGTGAACACATTTCGCAACAGAAAAGAGAGAAATAATAATAAAAACACAAAATATAACACAAAAAACTTCTTTCAGTCAACACAACGAGACTGAGAATCAGACAAATTCATTGACTTTTATATAAACGTCGAGTGAATGGTTGGGCGACAGTTGGCTCTCGGGATCCCCACCCGATCCCTGCCATCCATATAGACATTGAAGACACGCTTTAATGGCCTGAATGACAGTATAATGGGATAATGCATACGAAGAGTCTCTCATCTGATCCGTAACCGTTTGGGTAAAACACACACTAAACACAAACACCTAAACTACTTAATCGCAAACTAAACAATAAGCGAAAAAGTTTTTTCTCTCCGTAAAGCCTTATAATACCATTTTTACGTAATATTTTAGTAAATAATCTTTAAATTAAATCCATTATAAAGTTTTTTGGCAAATGAATGAAGATAAAAAAAATCGTGAGTCACTCATCAGTAAGCCCTTAAAACCCCTTATATTTTAACTCGTTTTTAGTAGAGATTTCATTATTTTTTTTTCATTGTCCACTCCTTCTTCTCATTATATTTTGCACTCAAATTGTTATCAATTTTGACATTTGCTGTATTTTTTTTAAAAACAAATGAAAACTCCACTCTCTTATTGAATGCCACGAAAACGGCGTTAATTCATAACTGAATTGTCTGCGGATTCTCTTACCCTTGAATTCAATTGTTTTCCAAACTTATTATATGTTTTTTAGTTAAAAAATAGTACAATAAAAATGATTGTCCAGACATTGTGTGGTTAATAAAAAACACCTGTTAAATGTCTCGGCTCTAGACGTATAATGTCTGGAAAATTTAATTTAATTCCCACTATTTCTAACTTTATTACATTGCGTTATACTGTAGAGTAAATCGTGTAAATGTTGTGGAATATTGGGCTATTTTTAATAATTTATTATTAACTATATTTAATAATATCTTTTAATCCATTGGAGTAATCGTATTATTTAATAATATTATTATTATTAAAAAGATCCGCAATTTTTACATTAACATTATTTTATTTGTTGTCAATCTAAAAACAACTTTTATAAATTATTTTAATTACAGATTTATAAATATTATGTTTATTTGATAATAATTTTCTAATAATTTAGAACATTATTATTATATAAAGATACTTAAATTTTATTTATCTAACTTATAAAATAAAATTTTAATGGATTTTATACATATGAATCAATATTTTATATCTTTATTATAAATCAATTGATATTTTATTATAATTTAATTTATAAACCAATACTAATAATATTTTTATAAAAACAAAATTTTATCATTTGATATAATTAGGGACTAATTTGCATACATTTCTAATTTAAAGTTGTAATGATCTTCACGGGTGTGTCCGCTATAACGGTGTGAAATGTGTCTAAAAGATGATTAAATAATTGTATATTAATTTACTTCAAGAATTTAATAATCAAATAATGCAAATCACAAATTGTTAAAAATACATTTGTAATCATTTGATTTCATCACTTAATTTCAATGTCCTTCCCTTTCAAACAAGAAATATTACAAAAAATAAGTTTAGCATTGAATTCGTTAATAAGTTATTTAATAAATAATAAATTACTGAATAATGCACTAAATGCAGGATATTATGGAAATTTATATATTAAATACAACTTTGATATTTTTAATTATGCAATAATTTATAATATTTTATACTCATTAATTTATCATTCAAGCAACACGTGTACATTATTTAAAATATAGGCTTATTTTAAACAAAATTTAATTTAACAAAATATATTGTGTAGTAAATAAACTAATGGATATTTTTCACCATTATAAATAAATGTATTAAATTATTGTATTATTATAATATTGTGTAACCATAAGTTTATAATGGATAAAATCATTGTTTTACACACTTTTTATTGCACACATCCGTAAATTGATGTTTTAAAATATGATAGCAATTCTTATATTGTATGTAAAATGTAATAAAACATGTTTCATATGAAAAAACGGACATTACATCTGATGAGCATATAATTCGTTTGTAATAATAAACCCATACTTTAAGTCCATATAACTTATAACTTATTTCTTTTCTCTTTCTCTTCGCTGTTCATCCAAAACATGATCGCAAAACAGATGATCCGATGGTGTAGTTTAGGTGTTACTGAAATCATTAAATAAATGGTATGTCATCTATTAGTGGATCAATTCTTATGCGCCCAAACACTATCCCCACAGTAAAAGCCCATATGAATGGTGTGTTTCAATAATAATAATATTCAGAC